CCTGAATCGCCAGGTGGAGCAGATCCCAGTGCTGAGGGGTCCCATGGATCCCTGACCCCATTCCCAGGGATCCCCCTGCATTCCCAGGGAGCTCCTTTTCCCCTTTTCCCTGCTTTTTCCCCCCACAGTCAGGTCAGGATCGAGGCCCTGAAGTGGCACTGTTTTTTCCCCATTTTCCCATGTTTTTCCCTCAGAAGTAGGACTGGATCAAGGCCCTGAATTGCCAGGTGGAGCAGATCCCCCGTGCTGAGGGGTCCCATGGATCCCTGACCCCATTCCCAGGGATCCCCCTGTGTTCCCAGAGAGCCCCTTTTCCCATTTTCCCATTTCCCCCCCACAATCAGGTCGGGATCGAGGCCCTGAAGCAGCACTAGTTCCATGTCTGGAAGCTGGAGATGAATCCCTGAGGATCCCAGGGCAGGGTCCCAGTTCCCCTGACATTCCCAGGGCTCCCTGACCCCATTTTTCCCACTTTCCCCCCTTCAGAGCTCATCCCATCAGTTCCTCCGCTGTTCCCACTTCACCACATTCCCCAAGGCCTCCCTGGCTGCCCCCTCCAAAGCCTATCCCAAAAAACAAGCAGCTCCAATCCCCCCCATCCCGGTGTGTGTGGGATCTCACCGAGGAGTCCGTGGGCAGGTCCGTGTCCCACTTGCGTCCCTTGAAGTCTCCTCCTCCGTTCCATCGGAAGGAGCTCATGCAGCCGCCCTGGGAAAGCTCTGGAAGCAACATTTGGGTGGTTTTTTGGGATTCAAGGAGGATAAAAGCAGGTCTCAGGCCGGTTTGAAAGGTTTAAGGAACATTTCTGGTGCATAAACAGGGATAGTTCAACCCATGGAAAGGCTGGGAGGGGATTGGGGCAGGGAGGGAAAATCACAGGGTGAGTTTTAGCTGTGAGGGGGTTTAATCCAGGATTTTTTAATCCAGGATTTTTTAATCTAGCACATTTTGGTCCAGCATTTTTTAATCCAGGATTTTTTAGTCCAGCACTTTTTAGTCCAGCATTTTTTAATCCAGGATTTTTTAGTCCAGCACTTTTTAGTCCAGCACTTTTTAGTCCAGCATTTTTTAATCCAGGATTTTTTAATCCAGCACTTTTTAGTCCAGCACTTTTTAGTCCAGCACTTTTTAGTCCAGCATTTTTTAATCCAGGATTTTTTTAGTCCAGCACTTTTTAGTCCAGCACTTTTTAGTCCAGGACTTGACATCCTGAGCATGGAGGAAATCATGGAATCATGGAATGACCTGGGTTGGAAGGGGCCTTAAAGATCACCCAGTTCCAACCCCCTGCCATGGGCACTTCCACTGAGTGGGACATTTCCAAGAGGTGGGTGTGGAAGTGTTTGGGATGAGGACAGCACGTCCCTCTGAGCCTTTCCACCAGGGATTCCTGGTGTGGGATGAAGGCAGCACATCCCTCTGAGCCTTTAAAGCCACCAGGGATTCCTGGTCTGGGGGGATATCCAGGCTGGAATTTTTTGGGATGAGGACAGCACGTCCCTCTGATCATTTCCACCAGGTATTCCTGGTTTGGGATGAGGACACCACGTCCCTCTGAGCCTTTCCACCAGATATTCCTGATCTGGGGGAAGATCCAGGCTGGAAGTGGATCCACTTCCAAGATCTGGAAGTGCTTGGGATGAGGACAGCACGTCCCTCTGAGCCTTTAAAGCCACCAGGGATTCCTGGTTTGGGAGGAGATCCAGGTTGGAAGTTTTTGGGATGAGGACAGCACGTACCTCTGATCCTCTCCACAAGCTATTCCTGGTCTGAGGGGAGATCCAGGCTGGAAGGGTTTGGGATGAGGACACCACATCCCTCTGAGCCTTTAAAGCCACCAGGGATTCCTGGTCTGGGGGGAGATCCAGGCTGGAAGTGTTTGGGATGAGGACACCACGTCCCTCTGAGCCTTTAAAGCCACCAAGGATTCCTGGTTTGGGGGGGATCCAGGCTGGAATTTTTTGGGATGAGGCCAGCACATACCTCTGATCATATCCACCAGATATTCCTGATCTGGGGGAAGATCCAGGCTGGAATTTTTTGGGATGAGGCCAGCACATACCTCTGATCATATCCACCAGGTATTCCTGGTCTGGGGGGAGAACCAGGCTGGAATTTTTTGGGATGAGGCCAGCACATACCTCTGATCTTCTCCACCAGATATTCCTGATCTGGGGGAAGATCCAGGCTGGAATTTTTTGGGATGAGGCCAGCACGTATCTCTGATTCTTTCCACAAGCTATTCCTGGTTTGGGGGGGGATCCAGGCTGGAATTTTTTGGGATGAGGCCAGCACATACCTCTGATCCTCTCCACCAGGTATTCCTGGTTTGGGGTGAGATCCAGGTACTGCACCAGGGCGTTGAGGGTGGGGATGAGAGGAGCTTTCACCAGGGCTGCCTGCTTCAGGCTGCTGATGCTGGCCTCTGGAATACAGGGACACCGGGATCACCAGGGAGCTCCTGGAATGTCCTGGGATCACCTGGGATCAGACACCACCCTCCCACACCTGTTTAGTCCCAACCAAGTCTCCTCTCCATCAGAATTTAAAAGCTGCAAGGAACCAACAGGAATTAGGAGCAGAAAAGAGGGAATGAGAGCGGCGTCCTGGTTTTCCAGAGATGAAGCTCCATAAGGAACACCCCAAAAAATGGGAATTTCATGGGAATTGCACCACATCAAGTGCAGCTCTTGGCTAAGGAGGTGCAAATTTGAAGGAACAGAAGCAGCTCCTTCAAGCTGTGGCTTCAGAAACAAAACTCCATCGGGATCTAAAAATACAGATTTTTGGGAAAGCAGCGGATTTGGAGGAATAATTTGGAAAAGGACACAGGAGTGGAGACAGGGAGACTTCAAAGGGACACACTGAGGGTTTGCAGCACATTTCCCTTTGAAATGCCTTCTGACATTAACAGGCAGTAATTGATGATCACTGGAGTGAATTTATAACATTATATTTATAATTATATTCTAGTTCCTGTATTTCACATATTTAGATTTGAAATGTATTTCTATATTTCATACATTTAGATATGAAATGTATTTCTATATTTCATACATTTAGATATGAAATGCATTTCTATATTCCATATATTTAGATATGAAATGCATTTCTATATTCCATATATTTAGATATGAAATGCATTTCTATATTTCATATATTTGTATATGAAATACATGTCTATATTTTATATATTTAGACGTGAAATGCATTTCTATATTTCATATATTTGTACATGAAATACATTTCTATATTTTATATATTTAGACATGAAATACATTTCTATATTTCATATATTTAGATATTAAATGCATTTCTATATTTACTACATTTACATATGAAATGCATTTAGATATTTCATACAATTACATACGAGATGCATCTATATATTTAATGTAATTACATATGAAATGCATCTATTTCATGTATTTATATGTTCATATCTTTATATATGAAATAGATTTATATATTAAATACATGTATATATTTAATACATGTATATATTTCATGCATTTATATATTTAATACATGTATATATTTCATGCATGTATATATTTCATGCATGTATATATTTCATGCATTTATATATTTCATGCATGTATATATTTCATGCATGTATATATTTCATACGGGTATATATTTAATACATGTATATATTTCATGCATTTATATATTTAATACATGTATATATTTAATACATGTATATATTT